GCCCTGCGATGGTAGCATCATCATCACCGTCATCACGCCGTCGTGCTGACGAAGCTCTCTCTCGGTCACCCTACTCCGAAAAGGAAAAGGGGAATGCTACCAGGACTTGGGAGTCCTAGTAGGACTCCCCACACTTTGGGCACGCCCTATGAGGGCCGGCCTCCTCCTCCCTCCATCCTTTATATACGTGGCCAGGGGGCACCCTATAGACACACAAGTTGATCATTGATCCCTTAGTCGTGTCCGGTGTCCCCTCCACCATAACCTACCTCGGTCATATCATCGTAGTGCTTAGGCGAAGCCCTGCGATGGTAGCATCATCATCACCGTCATCACGCCGTCGTGCTGACGAAGCTCTCTCTCGACGCTCAGCTGGATCGAGAGTTCGTGGGACGTCACCGAGCCGAACGTGTGCAGATCGCGGAGTTGCCGTACTTTCGGTACTAGGATCGGTCGGTCGTGAAGACGTACGACTACATCAACCTTGTTGTCATAACACTTTCGCTTACGGTCTATGAGGGTACGTGGACAACACTCTTCCCCTCTCGTTGCTATGCATCACCATGATCTTGCGTGTGCGTAGATTTTTTTTAAAATTACTACGTTCCTCAACATTGCGATGGTATTAAACAAGAAACATGAGGAGTAAAACTAATGTTGCCATGTGTCATGGCAACTTTGGTGGAAATGTTCTAGATACCATGATCCGTGGACTATAAATGCCAATGATCCACACAATATAATTCCCATGATACGGACACTAAATTTTCCATTCAAAAGAAAATTTGCCATGTTGCAAAAAGGGAAGAAATTTGCCATGGTCCATATAGCTAAAACTAGTCATGCCGCATAAACTACATTTGCCATGATCCATTAAACTAAATTGCCGTGGTCCAAAAAAATCTATGTGAATAAAAGAAAATTGCCATGCTCCATAAACTAAATTCGTCATGCCCTCTTTAGCTTTGCCCTGCTCCAACTTCTTTCCTCATCTCTTTCACATTGGTTTGTCCTTCGTGGGGGCGGCCAAGCGCACTGCTCTCACCCCTCCCCATTTTTCCTTCTCTGCACACCCTCTCCCTCATCCTCTATCCTCACGACAACACGACATGATTTAATCAACGACGATGGTAGCTGCAACCGTCGGTGTGGTCGAGCTGGATGCAATGACGCACCCGACGGCGAGCTATGAACCAGCGATCACAGAGTTGCAAACTGCCGAATGGCAAGATGCACCTGCAGAGGGGTAGGGGGCGCTGCTGGAATTGACCATCAATTTTATTGTAACCAACATGGAGACGAGTTGGAACCGACCAAAATTTTGGTGGAACCAGCATGGAGACGAGTTGGAACTGACCAACAATTTGGTTGCGACGCCAAAGACTGTTGGGACCAACATGTCAACTAGTTGGAACCGATGCCCGGGTTCGCTGGAACCAGTGAGCAATTTTGCTACCACCGGCCGATGCGGGAGCTGGCACTAGCAGATGTTTATTCTGCAACTCATGAAGCCCCGAGCTGGAATGAGCAGAGATTTTTGCCCCAAGTTGGACAGCAGTTTTTTTTTGCTGCATCGATTGGAGCGTTTGTTCGGTGGCGATAGCTTTGATATTTGTCGCAACCGGCAACCTCAAAAGCTTCCACTGAGAAGATTTTTTTGCTATGATGGAAGCTGCATCCGGTGAGCGGAGGCTGCAACGGGGGGTTGGGGGCGTGTGACCATGCCGCTGGCAAGCGGTGCCGGCGGCGCTGAGCGTTCTCGCCGGAAAGGAGGAAAGAGAGAGAGCGAGAGAACCCGAGGGAGAAGATAAAAGGCATTTTTGCGAAAGCCAAATCCGAGGAATGAAAACACATAAATCATGGCGCTTCCGTCGCGACCGGGTGAAATTTGGGCCGATCGTCGGGGCAACACGTTCGTGCGAGAACCACCCCGTTCTACCCGTTGGATGGTCGAGCCTCACGCGGAAAGCAAGAAGGCATGTGGGCAGGAAGCCAGCCAGAGCCAGCGCGCGAGCTGTCTAAGGCAGCGTCACCACGACCTTGACGTGTTCCACGTGAGCGAGTGAACGTCACGGAGCCAGCAGGAAGGTAGCTTCAACGAAAGACGCCAGGTCAAGTCAGCGTTCCCATCCTGCGGCCAGGCCCGATCCACACCACCGGCGCAGCAGCCGGGGCAGGCGGCACCGCACACCACCGGCCGCCGTACGTCGTACGTGCCGCGCACGTGAGCATCGAGCCTAGCCGAGCCGAGCCGAGCCGAGCGGAGAGAGAGAGAGAGACGAGCCCATGCCGACGTCGGCATCGCCCTCGCACCCACTCCACCCATTCATTCATTCACTCATTCTGCTTTAATCATACGGCTCATCGCGTTTCACACCATCCCTCCCCAGCCTTCGCCTCACCGACCGCACGCCACGATGGGCCCTGCCGGACCCGCACGCACGCCACGATGGGCCCTGCCGGACCCGCACGCACGCCACGATGGGCCCTGCCGGACCCGCACGCACGCCACGATGGGCCCTGCCGGACCCGCACGCCACGATGTGAAGCTTGGAGCTGGACCCGAAAATATGCTTGAGAAAAGAAAAGGCAAGCTGAAATTTAGGAAAAAGATTGACCACGACGTGCTCTGCTCCGCCTCGTCCTCCCCGCGTCCCCGGGCCCAACGACGAGTTGTTTTTATCGCGGCTGCCCCTCTGTGACCAACCAGGTCCACGGAAGGTGCCTCGCACAGCATAACATAATCCGCGAATAATATTCTTTTTTTAATAACCAAAGAAAGATACCACTCGTACCACCGAAAGATGCCTCGCATTATTTTACTTATATTATTATTATTATTTGGCGAGCGATTATCACTCATCATCAATTATATCAGCCACGGTAGGTGGTGCGGCGATAATGAGAATCGATAAGGACGCGCGGGCGGCGTGGGCCCGGCCCGAAACCGCCTGGCGGGCCGCAGCTGGATGGAACGACGCCACAGCTGTATGCTGCCGGGCCCGCCACTCCCCCACTTGCGTCTCGCGGCTCCCACGTCGTCAACTGTGCTGCGTCTTTGTCTCAAAAAAAAAACTGTGCTGCGTCTGTCTGTGCCTATCTATCCCCCTTCCCCGATATTTACCCCTCAATTTCCTACGAATTTCTCGCTCACGTCTCTCCATTTCACCGCACCTTTGCCCCCAGAAATGCCCACTATTCACACCCCAACTGCCATCGGACGCACCAACCGCGGAATTTCACGCAAGCCCATGGGCTTTACCCGACCCTCGCCAATAATTCGGCCGCCCACGTCAGAGCAATAAAGATCTCTTCTCCACTAAGCAAAAAAAAACCCGTATTATTTTATTTTTTATTTTACTATTCGAGTCGGAGAGGGTAAGCGCAGCGCGCACGCTTCCGTCAGGGCCCGGCCCGGTTTCTTTCTTCTTCTATAAAACGCGGCCCGGCGGCACCGGGATATCTCCCCCATTGTTTCCTCCCCCACAAATCTCATCTTCTTCTCGCTAGGGTTAGGTCTCCGGCGCGGCGCGGCGCAATCCGCAAATCCCGACGACGGCGCCCCCCTGAGCCAAGCAGCGAGCGGATCCACTCGATCTAGTCCCATGGCCACGGCGGTGCTCAGATCCCACGACCCGCTCGCCAACAGGATGCATCTCGACGCCTTCGCCGCCTCCCCCCAGGCGGCCAAGCAGCGCCGCCGGCGCCACCCCAAGCCGGCCCCGCCGCCGCCCAAGGTGGTCGCCGGCTCTTCGCCGCCAAAGCGGGCTCTTTTGGCGTCTCCAGCGTTGAAGCAGGCCCCCGCGGCCGGCCGTCGGTCCCCGCCGGCGAAGCCTGCCCGCAAGCAGCCGTCCCCGACCAAGGAGAAGCCCCGGCAGCAGCCCATCGTGATGGAGGCCGTCCGGATCCTCAAGCGTGGCGAGGAGCCCCCGGCCCCCTCACCCGCCCCTGCCTCACCGCCCGTCGTCAAGGCCCGCCCCCAAGCCCCGCCAGCGGACAGGCGCGTACGGTCTCCTCCCCCAGCCTCGGCACCTATCGCGTCGGCCCGGGCGCAAGCCCCGCCGGCCGACAAGAGGGCGCTCCGGACCACCAGCCGGATCGGCCCGCAGCAACCTGCCGTCGTCCCGACTAAAAAGATGGTGCCAGTCGCCATCGCAACCAGCTATGCGGGCCCGGCGTTCTCCGCCGCGGCCCCGGAGCCGAGCTCCCTCCCCCTCCCAGGGTTCTTCTTCCGGCGCGCAGAGGAAGAGGCCACCCGCGGCCTCCGGTGCCTGCTCCGCATCGGCGAGCTCTCATGATGACGGCTCCCCCTCCAGCAGCGTCGTGTGCGCCCCCTCCGCGGCCGCGCCGTTCTGCTCTGCTCCCTCCTCCCCCTCGTATCACCGCCTCTCCACCGAAGCAACAAGAAGAAGAGGTGGTGGTGGTGGTAATAGCTCTCCCTGACTGAAGGATGGAAGGATTTTATCTGTGGATGGTCGGTGTGCGGATGGATCCGGCGGCAAGCTTGGCCGGATCAGATCCCGGCTCCGTTCCGATCGAACCCTTCCGGTATTTTTTCAGAGGAAGGGTCATCGGGGGAGCGGAGGTCCGGCGGTAGGGTTTGGTGGTGGTTGCTTTAGGTTCGCGCGTTGCTGCTGCTGCTGCACAGGTGTTTGGTTCGCCTTGATGTCGTTAGGTAGCTTGTTAATTGTCGGTCAGTCAGAATGATTAAGGGTTGGTTCTTGGTTTAGGTGGCGATAATCTGGTAGCTAGGGAGTGGGTCTCAGGTTTGGTTGCAGTGATGATAATAATTGAAGTTTATGTGTGCGTGTGTGGGTCGAAGGTATGAGTTATGAGGTAAATTATATATACTGAAAAGTATGGACTAGTTGCATCATCAGCTGAGCTATGTGTAGTTGGTGTAGCGACTGAGAAGTGTGTCTAGTTGCATCAGCTAGGCTATGTGTAGTTGATTTAGCAACTGAGTTATGTTAGGTAAGAGTTGTTCATGGTCCTTTGTAAGATATCGAAGTCTGTATCGGTCGATCATAGTGTTATAATCCGTGAAATAAAATATGTCAGTGGTAGATTATATGAGCTCTTGTCTTGAATCTTGATGGTGTGTGATCATCATCTGTTCTTGATTCTTGTTCATAATGATTTGTTGAACTTGCACAACAGTCTCTACCTCGACATCTCTACCTTTATGATGACCCCATTATGATCTGACAATTGATATCCACCAGTGATGAAATATACTGTATCAGTGATAGTTTGCAATAATTTGCAAACCACGGTCCGTCGTCGTTGGCAATTCGTTTGGTTTTGGGCTGCTTGCTTTCTTAGGAGGTGGTGGTGTTGATTGAATGCCACCAGCACTTGTCTCTCTGGCTAAGCAAGGCCAAATCATACTCCACCAGCCAGGCGTGTTAGCTGATTATCTACACCTAACTTGTGCCGACCCTGTGTTGGTGTTGGCCGGTGATAACAATCCCAACTACGTACGTTTGAAGCTGGGGAAGATGATCATTTCGCTTGAAAATTTAAGCACAATTCAGACTTGAATAAAACCAATCGTCGGAGGATTGATTGAGTAGGCATGACAAGTGGACGCACGAGTTGGGAGGCTAATGGCTTCGCTGACGGTGATGAGACGAGATGCGTCGACTTTGACGTGGAGGATCGAAGTATTCGGTCGAAAGTTGAACCGGCAGCCAGGGCGAAGGAAGCAAGGCAGGTTTGATTCAGAATAATAGTCAAGTTGGGCAGCAGGTTTGACGACTCCACCGGGTTTCATTTCATTCATGATGATGAGTACGAGGCACCAAACTTTGTCGCCAGCTCGCATACATAGAATGATCAGGCATTAGCAGACAGCCGTATAAAACCAGCAACTTTGCAGTACGTAATCAGGAAGCTAGGCAAGGTGCCGAGTAATCAAATCAGATCAATTATTGTGCTACAAACAAGATGTTGACTGATCGACCAAATTAACCGTGTGCTAGAAACAGATCATCTAATTATCCAAATTAACCAAATGAACCTATAGGGGTGGAAAGTGGTAGCGGATATTCCAATTATCCAACTATAAAGTGAAATAAGTGGTCAAATTTTACTCGTTGTATGATTCATCTTAGAAATTTGATTCGTTTCCACCCTTACATGAACCTTAACTCATTTGAGCCGCATCCGCATCCGATTCGTTTCCACCCTAACTAATTTGATGGAGGTAGAAACCCTAGGCAGAGGTAGGGGAGAGGGAGGAGCAAGCGTGCTCACCTCGGGTGCCTGCGACGAGGGAGGGGCAGGCGGCGTCGAGGTCGTGGTCGGGGCTTCGGGGCGGCGTTGAGGTCGGGGGGGCGGGGGTGGCGTCCGGGGTGGCATTGAGGTCGGGGTCGGGGGCGGCATCCCGGGCGGCGTTCAGGTTGGGGGTGGGGCCGGCGTTGAATCTGGGGTCGGGGGCGGCGTGAGGAGAGCGCGCGGCGGCCGAGGGGCGACGGCGGCGGCGAGAGTGGAGTTGATTTGGGGGATGAAGTGACCGTGGGGAAGGACGAACCGCGTGGTTAAGTCAGAAGTACCAGTAGTGCATTCCAGAAAGGGCGCTACTGCTACATTAGCTACAGCGCGTTCTGGAATACTCGCTGCAGCTATAGCGATTTTCTGCAGAACCCGCTACTGCTATTCCTTTCTCCTTTTTTCCCTTTTTCTTTTATTTTTCTTTACATTTTATTTTTTTTCCTTTCTCCTTTTTCTATTTCTTTCATTTTCATTTACTTTTCTACTTGTTTTTCACTTTATTTTATTTCCGTTAGCAGCAGCGCTTTACACGTAAGCGCGCTGCAGCTAAGGAGATTAGCAGTAGCGTTGGGCCATTATATGCGCTACTGCTAGGTTGGGCTAGCCATGTGCGCACAGTTCAAATGTAGCAGTAGCGCTTTTCGCTAGTACGCGCTACTGCTAAAGTCATAGCAGTAGCGCGGTTTATTTACGCGCGCTGCTACTAAGTAGCAGCAGCGCTTGATTTTGTACAGCGCTGCTGGTAAAATTCTGTGTATAGGCTTTTCCCTAGTAGTGTAGCTCTCTCTTTCTCTCGCTCTCACACCCCTCTCCCCCATACACACTCGATGTCTCTTCCAAATAGTCTGCTCCCCCCGCCCGCACCCATGCTATCTCGCTACTACACATGTCACACCATTCCCCCTTCCCTTATACTAGGTTTACATCATCTGTGGTCTCTCTACTCCACATACATTCGCTCCCTCTCACACACAAACGCGTGCACAAACACACACAGACACGCACAAACACCCATTTACCTGGATCCTCATCTCTCCTCATGTCTACATGTGTATCTCACACACTCACTCCCTAATTATGTATATGTGTCTCCACATTACACAACACAAAGCCTCATGTACATGTCTCTCTCTATCCTCCACACACATAGACACAAAGAATCTGTTATCATTGCCTCAGTCTCTAACATATCACACACGCACACTCTCTCTCTCTCTCTCGCAAACACGCTCAACAAGAGTTTCCCCGTGAATAACTTACTGTCTATTCATGAACAGTCATGGCAGTACGGCGAACACGAGACGTGAAAAAGAATAAATCTACACATGCTTAGACCACCTAGTATGACTACTACGAGTAGAGCAAGCCAAAAAGCGCGCCGCCGTCACCCCCTCCTTGTCAGCGACGGGAAAATCTTCGTTTTACACAGTCGAGAAGTCATTATGCTAAGGGCTCACAATGCCGAGGCGTTGAATATAATGTAGATGCTAGTTTACGGAAGCAAGTGTCGATAATATGTTTGTATCTCCATACTTATATTTCTTCTCTTATAAAAAACCGAGTTGGTGATGATGGTACGTGTGCCATCTTGTAATATAGACCGTCCGATCTATATCTAACGGATGGAAATTAAACTAAAAGATACATGCACCCCTCTCCATATTTGCAGACAAGGCCTTCCCTCGTTCATCCTTATCTCCAACAAACCTCATTGTTGAGCAATTAAGAAAGGAAGCCTCTCGAACAAACTGGCCTGATGGCCACTGCCGGCATCGTCAATCCCCATGCCTCCGCTTAGTTCGACCACCAACCACCACCACAGCCCACTCCTCTTCACTTTATCTCATATTTCTCAAGATATCATTAGTTTTTACACATGGGATTACTACTGCAAGGGTCAATCACAACAAGTATTTTATAAAAAAATGCATCTTGATGTTCCGTGCAATGCACGGATCTTGTTAGTACTCCTACACAAGACTAAGTTGGTGATGCTGGTGTGTCTGCCGTCCGTCGTTTCTGACCATTAGATCTACATCTAACGATTGTGAGGTAAGTTGTTGCCTTTTCTCACCAACATCCCACTTGTCTACCAATTTGCAGAAAAACTCATAATTAGTATCTTAAAACCAACCACATCCCTCCCTGACCTCACCAAAACAGCCCAAGGAATATATTCTAATTGAAACATAATATATCTCTAGTGACATATGTATATCAAAATTAGAGTGTTTTGTACCAAGTTTGTGAATAAGTATTATTCTAATTATGATTCATTGCAACGGACATGAACATTGCTAGTATTTCCAACCATGCATTTCTTTTCCTAGTATTCCATAGTTTCAAGTTTTCCATCAAGATATTAGTCACTCATGGTTGATATTTACTTTCAATCATGTACACATATGCACTATGTAACTAGCCTTGCTTATTGGCTTCCAAAGCTTAACTTTCACTCCTACTTACAACATGTAGAGTATTTAACAAAAAACTACCACTTTCAACCAGCCCTAGGAGGAATCTATTGTACAAAAAATAGCAAAAACATACCCAAAATTTCTTAATCCACGCCAAAAACTACCTAGTACTCCTACCGATTAGGTTCGTTTAAATCCATTTATCACAGGGTTGGCCCACATGTCCGTGCTGACGAGGCAGCTTAAACTAACACATTTTGTTTGACCGTTGACACGAGGGACCCACATCTGACCTTCTGTCCTGTTATTCCCCATCAAATCATTATTTTTCCTGAACATTACTTCAAACAGTACTGATGTGTGTTTGTTGGTGGCGCCGGTGATGAGCGAGTTGGCCGTCGCTCCGTCGGACGGACCGGACGCTGCGCTGGCCTCCGCACGGGTTGGCAGGCTGGCCCGAGCATGACTCACAAGCGAGCAAGCTGCCGCGCTGGCCTTCGCTCGAGCCAGATGGCTGGCCTTAGCGCAGCGCGCGTGAGCAAGCCGCCGCGCTGCCTTGCCAATCTAGCTAGCAAACCTTGCAGACAAGCAGTTGGACAGAGCCCAAGATGAAGAAGATACAAAACCCAATCTAGTAAAAATTCCGAAATGTCCACAACCTCCCAGGAAGAAAAAAAACAACAACACGTTGTAAATAATGCTCAGAAAACTTCACTTTTTACCCACACAAAAGATGAAGGCCTTTTCCTTCAGCTGGTTGGAAGCTACACTTTCCAGGTTTGACAACAGTTGATCAACTAGGATTAAAATTAAAAAATATGCAGGCAAAAACATGAGACGACTGTTGTTTGTACCAAGTACGGGGTAAATGAGACGGGTGCCACTTGATGCAAACAAGCAACAGAGGCACACTACTTGGCCACAAACAAACAAAAATGTAGTTGATCAACTATGGATTATTATTCCCCTCAAACAAACAAGCAAAAATTAATGGACTGTTATCGTCCTGGGGACAGTGGAGTGGAAAACATCAAAACCTAATTTGTCAGACACTCTCAACATCTAGAGTCCTAACCAATAGTTCTGAGCAAAGAAACATTTGCATAATCAGTTTATCATCATCACACATGGCACTGACTAGCACAAGACTCTGGCAGAGCATATAAACAACTGGATCAAACATTTCAGATTAATGACCGAACACATAAAGCAGCAGTGGAGTATTTTGTCTTTGGGGAGACACTGGAGTTTTCCTCTTGTAGTTGAAGACATCCAGGGTGGAAGTGGGAAAACATCAAAGCCTAACCTATCAGACCCTCTGACATAACAACTATTCCTAACCAATGGTTATGAGCAAAGAAACATAGGCAATATCAATTTACATCATCATAGTCGGCACTAGCTAGCAGAGGACTCTGGCAGCATGCAAACAACTTGACCAAACATTTCAGACAAATGACTGAAAATAAACTGCAGCACAGAGAAGAGCACTACTAAGCTTGCACGTTGATATAGAGTACTAAATGGCAGAATGATCAGCTAAAATGGCGGTAAATGTGAATAAACCAATTCATTCTATTACATCGTGCAAGCTGCCTGCACCTCATCATAAAGCCCACTGGCGAATCCTCCCTAGACCATACAAATAGTTATTCAGGACATGTATACCAAAAGTTGGGATGAACTACCGACTGTGATGACTACAAACTTTTTCAATGCCCACTCCCCACTATGCTTACTCACCTCTCAATTCAATGATCATTCCACGCAAGGAGAAACTTTAATCGGCCTTCACAGACGAGAAGAGATAGTGCACGAAGCAGAACGAGGAGATGAACCCGACCGTGCCGGTGGCCAGCATGATGGCGATGACCATGAAGAGCGAGTAGCCGAGGTAGAGGGTCGCCGACACCGGCCCGCTCAGGCTCTTGAGGTCGAACACCAGGTAGTTGATGGAGTAGAGGAAGATGTAGATGGCCACGGACCCGGACGAGAAGAATGACTTCCACCACCACTTCCAGTCCTCCACGCAGAGGTGCATGTAGGTCAGGACCAGGGAGACCTCGGCGCAGACGATGACCAGGAGCAGCATCACGATGAAGAGGAACCCGAAGACGTAGTACACGCGCCCCATCCAGATGCTTGACATGATGAAGAAGAGCTCGATGAACAGGGTGCCGAAGGGCAGCGTGCCGGCGCCGAGGACCAGCAGCCAGGACGGGTACTTCTGGGCGGGGATCTCGCGCGGGATCTGGTTTGTGCGGACCGGGTACTCGATGTGCGGCGCCTTGGCACCAAGGAACCCGCCGACGAGTGTAAGCGGCACAGAGATGCAGAACCAGAGCAGGATCAGCACTACGAACAGCGAGAAGGGGATGGCGCCGGTGCTCTGGCTTCCCCACAGCAGGAAGTTGAGTGTGGTGAGGATCAGGAAGGCGATGCCAGGGAAGAAGCAGGCTGTCCTCCACGAAACGCCCACCCAGCCCGAGTGATCTCCACACCTGATTGTCTTCCAGACGCGGACACTGGCGTATCCTGCCAGGATCCCGAGGACCAGGTAGAAGAAGAGCATGCCTGTGATGAGGGTACCCCGGGAGGCCGGCGACATGAACCCAAGCGCGGCAAACAGGATGGTGACCACGGCCATTCCCAGGATCTGAACCCCATCCCCAACCATCATGCAGAGCAGCATTGGGTTGCTGGGCGCGCGGAAGACATCGCTGACGACGAGCTTCCACCCGGACAGCTCCTCGTTCATCTGGGCCTGCGCCTCGCTGTCGAGCTCCTCATACCTCGTGAGATCGCGCCTGACGGTCCTGAGCAGTATGACGAAGACGATGCCGGCGAGGAACGCGATGACCATGAGCGAGTTGAGGATGGAGAACCAGTGCACCTTGGCGCCCTCCATCTTGAGGTAGGCGTCCCACCGGGAGGGCCACTTGATGTCGCTCTCGACGAAGGAGACCTCGTAGGTGTAGACGATGGGCTCGTTCTCCTTGATGCTCATGGAGACGGTGGAGGGGTCGCACTTGATCTTGCTGGGGAACCTGCCGTACATCTTGACGGCCCTGGCGTCCTCGGGGTTGTGCTTGATGCTGCAGGGCACGACCTCGAAGCCGACGACCATCCAGCCGGGGGCGGCGGAGGCGTCCTTGCCGGCGTTGGCGGGGACGGCGGCGCCGTCGGAGGCGTCGGCGGCGGCGCCCATGACGCGGGCGACGTTGGGGTCCTCGTAGCGGTGCACGAGCACGGTGAACTGGAGGTGGTTGAAGACGTAGTAGTCGACGCCGACGCGGATGCCGACGGGGTAGCCCGTCCAGCGCAGGAAGTAGTCGTCCTTGCGGGTGTAGCGGATGGCGGGGAGGTTGTCGAGGATGAGGTTGACCTGGTACATCTCGTCGATGCGGCGCTTGAGGAGGGCGAAGTCCGGCGGGGAGAGCGGGGCGGAGCGGCAGAGCAGCACGTCCGACTCGTTGGCGTGCATCTTGAAGCGGTAGGGCGAGCTCTCGATGCGGTCGCCCATGAGCAGCTCGCCCAGGTTCTCCGCGCTGTCCTTGACCCCCTCCGGCGGCGCGCAGAAGGGCAGGCTGTAGTAGCTGTAGGGGATCTCGGTGTCGATGGAGGTGAGCGAGTTCACCTTGACGCTCAGCGGCTCCCCCGGGGCGTACTTGTGCGGGTAGCTCCCCGGGAGGTAGAAGGCGTGCGCGGCGGGGGTGGCGAGGAGGAGGAGCAGCG